TAAACCAGTTTTATTAAGTAAGGACTTGTGTCGCTAAAGTTTCGTCGGAACGAAGTTACGGAAAATTAATTAACAAACGGAGACGTAACAGTATTAACGCCTCCACGGCTATAAGGGCGATGGTAACCCGGGTTATAGCGTTGCAAGTCTGCAGACATACCGCTGTACCACTGGGGGGTGAGCGTGTTCGGTGTAATGGGGAATCGAACTCGCAGATTGCGAGTCGAGCACCCTCACCACAAGGCTAGAGAACTGTATAGTAAGGTTTGAGGAAAATTTGTGTTAAGGAACTCTTCCCTGTTAAGATATCGGGGTTAACTTCAGAAGAAACTTCGCCCTCTGTTCACAATGCCCTATTTCAACAGATTATACGTATTTTAGCCCCCCTCCCTTTTTTTGTATTGAACCAAGATCAATCATATTTTCAATTTCTTAGAATATTATATTCTAATCTTTATATACTGCTCCATTCCTCTATATCAATAGGACTTTGGATTTATCCTATATTTTTATTACAATTCTTATATACAGGGTGTGGCAATTTGCGATACGGCTGTTGCTGTATGGTTGGTACTAAAGGGAATACTGCGAAGATAAATGAAACCAAACCAATTACTGTTTATGTCAAAAATTGAACTACATTCTAAATAAAACAAGTGCATAATTACTTTTGCCCCCAGCCTGTGTGTGTATATATATATATATATATATGGGTTTGTTTGTTTTTATTACACTGGCACGATACATTGCGGACTAGGTTGTTTATTGTTAGGTGCCGTTATTGTTAATAAAACTTCTGACAAATATAAAATACTTCTGTTTATGCATTTAGTCACGACACAATATCATGCCTAACTGTATTCATCTATGCAATATCGGAACACCCTTTTGATACCATTTATAAGAAATGACTGGTGCTGAGTAACCTCCCAATCTATAATGTGATATATAAGAATTTAATAATATTTTTTAACTCCAGTGTTTCTTTTCTTTCTTTAAAAAAAGTTTCAAAAATTTAGAAGCTCTATACTCCATACAGATCTATTGTATCCGCTTTTTGGCCTAGCATGGCCAGGTGGTTAGGGCGCTCGACTCGCAATCTGAGGGTCACGGGTTCGAATCCCCATCCTACCAAACATGCTCACCCTTTCAGGCATGGTGGCGTTATAATGTAATGGTCAAGCCCACTTTATTGGTGGTGGGTGGTGATGACTAGTTGACTTCCCTCTAGTCTTACATTACTAGATTAGGGACGGCTAGCGCAGATAGCCCTCGTGTAGCCTTGCGCGAAATTCAAACCAATTTCCAATTCCTAGTATCCGCTTTATAAAGTCCCTCGCTGAGTTAATTTCCTGGTGCTCAGATTCAACAACGCTACATTGGAGACGCTATTCTCGTTCTAGGTATTTCCCATAAATTCAGTTTGATTCTAAAGTGGACATAGTCCTTTCAATTATCATGGACATCACGTCTTGTTATAGTCGCAATAGGATGATTTGATAGCATTGAAACAGTATGGTGATAACTATTTTCTCTGCAAACCACCAAGTTTTATTATTAGCAAACGTCTTCAATACTATTAAAAAAAAACCGAGTCATGTATAAACCCAATAAATTAGTTAGGTATATGAATTATTACCAAAAAAAATTGATATATGTAACGGGAATTTTTATCTTTATGGACGTTTCCTCACGTACAATCACCAAACTACGTAATGTGTTAAAAAACAAAAGCGTTACATTATTTATACAGGAAAACGCACAAGTAAATGATTTATAATGTTTTATTCATGCAAGAAAAACGTTTCCGATACATCTTTTAAACCTCGTAATCACAAAGAAAAACTAAAAATATATGTTCACATATATCTTAGTAAAGTTTAACCTGACCATGTTTGCTCGGGTAAGTCAAAAATACTGCATGTTACTTTCATTTCTTGAAGCAAGATAATGCGTGTTTTATACTTTATTCAAAACAAACAAATACTGTTATAAGTTTCTTTACTTTTCTCAATAACGTTGTTTATGTAAAACTAATAAATTTCAGACAAACCACTACTAGCGTACACTTTAAAGCGTATTCATATACTAGTAGCACGTTATTATTTTTTATTAAAACAAGAGAACACCGATGTATATTATAAAATTTGCTCAAACAACACTATTAGCACACTATTACTGCTTTTAACGAACGAGAGAACACTAGTTTTATAAGATTAATAGCTTGTCCAAACAAACGTTTTATATATGTTCAGTGCTTTATAGTTTATTCAAACACTGTTCGCAATTAACAACTTATATGTTCTTCAAACACGCTCTAACAATATATACTTTACTTGCTAAATACAAACAGTACAAAACAACACGCTATCATCCATTTTTGATTGTTTTCAAAAGAGAAAGAGTCACTTCAAAATACGTTGTTTTCCGGGTTTTAAAGAAGACTGTATACTATTGGCTTACTTTGTGTTGAGAAATAAATCAGAAAGAAAATATTAAAAACATATTGTACCTTCATTAACCTAAGAATCTGAATACTTGAAATAAACTTTATAATATTAAAAAGCTTAACCTACAATAATAATATTTATTACTCAAATAGTAAATATTCAAATTAAACACAGCATGTTATTTTCAATGATTAACCATCACCGGTCAATACTATATTGAGATTAAAATCAGAGAACACAAATACAACCAACATATATCAATTCTGTATTGTACACTCAAGAATAATAAGTTACAAATACATATCGTATGCTTTAACAAACAAGATAACACAGCATCACATCAAACGTTAATCTCCTAGGTGATCAAAGATGGCTCAATCCTCTTTGATTCTTCCTTCGTTGAAAAACCCCAAGACTTATGAAAAGCAATAATGTCCACGTTGAAATCACTCCTCCAACAGTGCAAACTAGATCTGAAAGCTGCAACAATAATTCGCATTTGAAACAAAGCAATTAAACAAATCTCTATTGCACGAAATGGCCCTAAGACCAAAACGTAGCGATCGTGGTGTGGCCAGATGATTAGGACGCTCAACTCGCAATCTGCAGATCGCGGATTGGAATCCTCATCTCACTGTGGGGACGTTATAAAGTTACGATCAATCCCAATATTTGTCGATAAAAGAGTTGGCAGACAAATGTTCAACTTGCTTATAAATACGCATTGGAAAAATAACAGTGAATTCTATAGCATCAGATATAGTACATTAATGCAGTTTGTCCAAGTTTCCATTGTAATCATATTTTTTGGAAGTAATATTTAACATTTTGAAAGTTGAAGACAACTTTAACTATTAAGTTAATTTCATCTCGTTTCTATATAATGTATTATTCGTAAGCTAAGTTATATTTTTCACAAGAAGCTATTTTTTTAACGATGTTTTAAGAACGTTCAGTGTTCTCAGTGATAAAATTATACATTCTATAGATACGGTTATTGACTTATAAATTACAGATTCCAAGTACACGTATTTTTGCGTACGTATACACTTATTTAGTATATTTTAAAACAGAATGGTTCAACTGACAGCCCGTGGGCCACATCCAGCCCAACTATTTTAGTTGACCCGCGCCCTCGTTATTACCCAAATTTGTTAGGCCCGGCATGGCCAGATGGTTACGGCACTCGACTCGCAATCTGAGGGTCGCGGGTTCGAATCCCCCTCACACCAAACATGCTCGCCCTTTCAGCCGTGGGGGCGTTATAATGTGACGGTCAATCCCACTATTCGTTGGTAAAACAGTTGGCGGTGGGTGGCGATGACTAGCTGCCTTCCCTCTAGTCTTACACTGCTAAATTAGGGACGGCTAGCGCAGATAGCCCTCGTGTAGCTTTGCGCGAAAATTCAAAAACAAACCAAATTTGAAATTTTAACTTTAGGAATTTTAAAAAATTTTATAATAAATTTTAAAAGGTAAGTTATTTCCTATTCTCTCCCCTCCGGTCTTTCACAAGTAAATGCTTAGCCCACTCTTTTAAGAGGCTAGTTTGTTAATATTTTTTTAGTAGGAGTCCTTTGTATCTTTCTAGAATTATAGTTCCACCTGCCGCTTTCAAATCAGACTATTTTTTGGAGAAATATCATCGCCGTGAACTCTTGGCAAGAAATTTGGTAATTGGACAGTGAAAGGACAAATAAAAATAACTGATTCGAAATGTTTCATAAATTTGATATTTGCTGAAAAGCTTTGGATTCTAAAAAGTTGTTAATTGTCTATAAAACTGTGCGACTTGGTTGAAAAGCTAGTAAACTTGGAAGGTTACCGATTCCACATATATTTAGTGTTCACGAAGAAAATATTTCTGGAAAGAAGACAATGCAACCTTTCTGTTTCATATTAGTACGTGATAAAACCATTCTTTAATGACAACTAAATTCACATACGTAAAAAAAATATATGTGATTTTACATATAGGGTTTGCTCTATTTTAAGCAACTAAAAATCCGTGACATTACTAAAGAAATTGATTAAAATTTATCAATTATCTTTAAAATATGTTAATATTTACAAGACTAATAATTAGTATGATATTTTACATTATTTTAACTTATTTACGCCTGACGACCTAGGTATAGAACGTTGTTCAACCTTGAACTAACCCTTGCAGAATTTGAAACATATAGAGACTTGACTCTCAAACTAGAGAGAACACCAGTTTATTATGGAATCATACACAGCACTGGTAAACTGTGAGTGAGATTAATACCTTGTGGTGCAACCTTTTGTCTTAAGCAGGAAAGCAAAGTGTTACATATTGTTGAGACGGAATCGACAATCCTGGTCTAAGGGATTGCAATCCATTCCTGACACAAAATCTCTATTAAGAATTTTAGGTAGCTATGTTTCCTGAGAGTCATTCTTGGGAGGGAGGGTCTATATTTCGGTCAAATCTATGTTAAGAGTTATAACACTTGTTTTCATCTGTTTATTCTATTAGTTCGAGGGCTGCCTAAGTTCTTTGTGAACTAGTCCATAAACCAGTACGTTAAACCCTGTGGTATGCCTGCATACCAACTAGCCCACGAACCAGTACGTTAAACTCTGTGGTATGCCTGCATATCAACTAGTCCACGAACCAGTACATTAGTGCGTTAAACCCCGTAGTACGCCTGTATACCAACTAGCCCACGAACCAGTACGTTAAGCTCTGTGGTATGCCTGCATACCAACTAGCCCACGAACCAGTACGTTACACCCTGTGGTATGCCTGCATATCAACTAGTCCACGAACCAGTACATTAGTGCGTTAAACCTCGTGGTACGCCTGTATACCAACTAGCCCACGAACCAATACGTTATTCCGTTAAACCCCGTGGTAAGCCTGTACACCAACTAGCCCACGAACCAATACGTTATTCCGTTAAACCCTGTGCTACGCCTGCATATCAACTAGTCCGGAACCAGTATGTTAGTTAGTTAAATCCCGTGGTATGCCAGCGTGTACTACGTTCTTATTTTAATATAGAAATTTACATGTCATGCCTCTTATTTTCTGCTATAATGAAACCATATATTGTGGTTGAATTTTACATTGCATTTCAGTCTTATATATCTCCAATTTCGAAGTATTTAATTAGTCAAACATTTAGAACCGCTTTAGGCATGCGAAAATTAATATGCATGTGTTTTTAAATTTTAATCCTAGATGCTTCAACACTTGAATTTCCGTCTCTATCTATGACGTAATGTGTCTCAATATATTTTTTGGCAGAAATATGCTATACGTTTTGTCCTACGTCAAGCATCAGTTTAACAATTCGTTCACAGGCTGTATTGTAGCGCGAAATTTAATAAATTACCTTTAAGTCTAATACTTAAAATATATTCTTTGTATGGGATGTTGTTTTACGCATGAACCTAACCCTCAACATCCATTTTTGTTTCCATTGTTTGTTTGTTGTGTAGCGCAAAGCTGTGCAATGGGTTATCTCTGCTGTGCCCACTATGGGTATCGAACCCCGTGTTTTAGCATTATAAACCTCCAGACTTACCGCTGAGCCACGGGGGGGGGGGCTTATATGTTAGTCACACGACTATTTTCGGTATTATATTTCTTGTGTTTTCGTACTAAGCCTTTTTCGATTCCACGTGAGAACGTGGAAAATGGTAATATCATGACGTAAGCTTTTCAACTATTATCAAAAATACGTTTTTTCTTTTTTTATTTATAAAAATTTGTTAAAATCTTGAAGACAATAATTTTATTTATCTATTTTTGCAACGTTATATTATGATCAACTCACCAGATAGCGGGGTAAATGTTGGGTGACCATTTGACCAGCTACATTGTATTGACCTTGCATTTTCACGTAGTTTTGTGGATTTCTATAGAAAAGAAAAGAAAAAGGTTTCCTTCAATCAAATCGACTTCAACATCTGTCTGTTTCTTATTTAATGTATAAATAGCACTGAAAGGTTTTCTTCCAATAGCTTTATTATATTTCATTTTATTAGAATTTTTTATGTTGTGCTACAACAGTAATGAGATGTTTTTGTTGTTGTTTTTAGATCTAACTCAAGTCATATCATTCGTCGTTGAAAAAAAATGATGTACCATCGTTAAGTTTTTTCAGGTTTTGTGAAATGAAACCTATATTATTATCCCTCAGTTTACTTATTTGCAGGGACGAAATTCTAAAAAAAGTAGAGTTACTAAGCTAAGTAAAGTAGATCTATTTTTGAAAAAGGAAAAAAAAATCTACTTGTAAACATTAAAAACGACAATATCAGTGTCAATGAATAAATGCTTTCTGACGGAACAATGAAATGCATGCGCATCCGAAAAAGCTGTTCAAATAAGTCCCGGTACTAGTACCGCCTTAAAAAATAAGTTCCGGTACTCAGTACCGGTGAGTAACCGGCAGAATTTCACCCCTGCTTATAGCGTTCACCACCGATGGAATCCACATACTGTAGTGTATTGGGTAATGTGTTTTAATCGTCAAGAACTGAAGAAAATAAAGATGAAATCATTCATTTTCTATGAAAAATTATATGCGGGACCCAGTTGCAATCAGTGAGATTAAAAACAACTGTGACAGTATTTTTATTTATATTTTTTGATTTTTTTTGTATGTCTCTTGTTTTTAAGAGACCCTGAGTCATGGACCCACAAGTTGAAAAGCCGATGAAGGCCCATCGGTAATTTTAAGGTTAAACAAGGTGTGATTATAATATTTATGAAGAGTACATAACAAATTATGCCATTAATTCCAAATAGCATGGCAGAACACAATAGTACGTCCAAGGAGAATTCTTAATTATGGCCATACAGTATAAAAACCATGTATACCATTATTGATTCACTGCTTTTTCAATGGGGACATTCCAGCTCCATAATGACCCTGTAAATACCAGCCAACCAGGGGATTGCTTACAAGGTGCCTCAGAGACAGTCGTGGATGGGCAGATGCTATACAACCACTACTGAGATAATCCTGCACCACCAGATCTCAGACTTCCCCATATAGAATAAATATTTGGCACTGTTAGCACTAATTTAAAGACCATGGTGGACAGTCACAATCTTTTGTTTCACAAGAATAAATTCAACTGTATTTAAAGAACACATTGAGAAGTTTACTTCTTATTATATTCAACAGAACTTTGCCATAAAGTTTGTGAACGCTATAAGTTGTCCCCCAGTGGCACAGCGGTATGTCTGCGGACTTACAACGCTAGAAACCAGGTTTCGATACCCGTGGTGGGCAGGGCACAGATAGCCATTTGCGTAGCTTTTTGCTTAATTACAAACAAACAAAAGCTATAAGTTGGCTCCTTAGTAATGATTTGGCTTTCGAAAAAAACGTTGAATGATGCCCGACTGCAGATAAGACCAAAAGTCTGATTCAGAACACAAGTAAGTAACTATAATTATTATCACTATAACTACGATGTAATATAATATTTATTATATAACGAAGTATTATGTGTATTCATCTTATATGGTACACAGATGTTTAATCATACTTTATAAGAAATACTTGTGTATATTAATACATTGGCATGTCGCTGCAGACGTTAGCCTTGATGCAAGAGATGTTATCTATAGTGGATATATACACTAGCAGAAACGCCACCCAGCGGGCGGTTGTTTGTGCTAGTAATAGTAATCGTAGTATTCATACCTCGTTGAAAAAAATTAGAAAAAAGTGAACATTTTCTAAAAAAAAAAGTGTTTGGATTGTGCTCTTTAGTCATACGCAACTCATTGCATCAAAATTTCTCAATTGCTCAAAATTGCTCAAATTTTCATAAAATTTACTGATATAAACTGTAATGTTTATATATATTAAAAGTGGAACCGTTTATTGAAAAATAACATTTTTTAAGAACTCCATTTTCTTAGTACTATATTTAAAGATTACATCAATAAAGACATAATCAAGCTTTCACGTACAGTCCTAGTGAAAGTCGTGTTATTGTTGCGAAAAAAGTACTTTTATTTAAAATTGGGCCCGGCATGGCCAAGTGGTTAGGGCGCTCGACTTGCAATCTGCGGGTCGCGGGTTCGAATCCCCGTCACACCAAACATGCTCGCCCTTTCAGCCGTGGGGGTGTTATAATGTGACGGTCAATCCCACTATTCGTTGGTAAAAGAGCAGCCCAAGAGTTCGCGGTGGGTGGTGATGACTAGCTGCCTTCCCTCTAGTCTTACACTGACTAAAGTTAGGGACGGCTAGCCGCAGTTAGCCCTGGTGTAGCTTTGACGTCGTAAAAC